TCCACCAAAACCTTATGTGCATATTTATCGTTTAAAGTTTGGCGTTCAATCGCCACAAATTCACGCCAGGTTTCGCCGCATTGGTGTTTTCTAAAATCTTCACGTATGTCTGAACTAAGTTCTTCACTTGAGTTACGATTTACATCTCCACCAGAACCTTCACTTGATCGACGCGCTCGCCAAACCTGGGCGTTGCGCGACCATGCTTTGAGTGGCATCTGCGCCAGGGCGGCATCTCTTTAGTGCCAGGGCATGTCTTTGAAAATCCAGTGTATCCCGACGCGCGCGCCATGGCTCAACGGTGGCAGTGCGCGACCATGTTGTCATTTCGCCCGCGCGGGGGTGCACTTTCAGTAGTTCCCCGCCGTGCTTTCGAAACACCATGTGATTCAGCGCACGTGCGCGAGACAACTTCTCTCCGAGTCTACGACCCAGTGTTTTGAAAGTCACATGTCTGAAGGATCCTATGTCTTCAGATCTGCCCTGCCGGCTGTTGGGAGGGCCTGGGAGGGGCGGCACAGCATCCTCTTCCTCCTCCTCTTCCTCCTCCTCCTCCTCCTCGCTCCTCCTCCTCCTCCTCCTCCTCCTCCTCCTCCTCCTCCTCCTCCTCCTCCTCCTCCTCCTCCTCCTCCTCCTCCTCCTCCTCCTCCTCCTCCTCCTCCTCCTCCTCCTCCTCCTCCTCCTCCTCTCCTCCTCCTCCTCCTCCTCCCTCCTCCTCCTCCTCCTCCTCTCCTCCTCCTCCTCCTCCTCTCCTCCTCCTCCTCCTCCTCCTCCTCCTCCTCCTCCTCCCCCTCCTCTCCCTCCTCTCCTCCTCCTCCTCCTCCTCCTCCTCCTCCTCCTCCCTCCTCCTTCTCCTCCCCCTTCTCCTCCTCCTCCTCCTCCTCCCTCCTCCTCCTCCTCCTCCTCCTCCTCCTCTTCCTCCTCCTCCTCCTCCTCCTCCTCCTCCTCCTCCTCCTCCTCCTCCTCCTCCTCCTCCTCCTCCCCCTCCTCCTCCTCCGCCTCCTCCCCCGTCGTGGAGTACACTTGGGACACGTGCCGGTCGGGTCCAGGGAAAGCCCCCGCTGCCCTCGGGCTGGGATCGGGGGTCGGCGGACCCTCGGGCGCTATAGCCCCGTGTCGTGTCCCAGGGGCTTTTGCGGCACCAATGGGGAGCGCGAGATCCCGCCCAGAGGTGGGGCCAATCGAGGGAGAAGAAGCACGATGGCCATGAAGAAGATGTCCCCCGATCCTGTCGGCGCCGATCTTGGTCGCGGTCCATGCCGGCCGTCACCGATTCGCGAGGATGGTCCACGACCGGACGATGACCAAGACCGACACCAGCGTTTCCGCGTCCAGTCTTGGTCAGGGTAATCATGGGCAATATCCGGGGCGGATAGGCTCAGGCGGGGATGCCTCGACCACCCATCGCCCATTGATCGCCGATGGGGGCCCGATAGCCCTAACGTGCCCGGGAGCGTGCGGATTCGCTCTCGGAGTCCTACTGCCGCTTGGTTGGTGAGCCAGCGGGGAGATTCGGAGTCGCCGCGCGGTTTGGGGGGGACTCGGGCCGTGCTCCAGGGGCATCATCTCGGGCGACGGGGGCCTCCGAGGTCCCGAAGCCGTGCGGTGACGGACCGTGCGGCGAGGTCGCTGGGGGTTGCGAGGTCACCACGCGTCGACTGCACGTGAGAGTGACCTTGCGCCGGAGTGACCTTTGGGTGCGGGCCGAGTGGGGTCCCCCGATCGCCGAACGCGATGCGGCAGAAGCGTCTTGCGCGCTCGTGTATTGTTCCCCCCGCGGCCCGCAAGAAGCCGCGCACCAAAGGCCACTCTTGCCCAGAGTCACTCTTGCGTGTAGTCAAATGCGGTCCGTCACCACACGGCTGGGGGTGCCCCGAAGTCGTGATTCTTGCCGCTGCGTCGGGGGGGTGCGCGCTCGCCCGCCCCCTCAGGGCGTGAGGGAGAAGCTGAACGCAGCGTCGCAGCAACTCCACGCCGTGCAGGCGGAGATAGACCAGCTGGAAGGGCATCTGAAGGCGCAGGGACTCGCATCCACCGAGCAACGTTGCCGACGCGGTGGGGAGTTAGATCGTTGGCAACGTTAGTTCTCTGAAGTTTCTGACGTTGTTCTAAAGTATTCTAGGCACGGGGTGGTTTCCATCAGCTGCGCCTCGTCAAGAGCGTTCCGGGGGTGCCCAGATCGCCCCGAACGGCCGCCGAAGAGTCGAGTTATGACCCAAGTCTCAGGAGGCAACGCTGGGGGCAAATAGGCTAAGGGGGGCAGATCGACCCCGCCCAGGAACGCGCGGATTAGCTATCGCGGGCCTGCCGCCGATCTATCGGCGAGAAGTCGCCGATTCCAGGACGATGTTTCCTCAGAGCTGGCCCCCCTTGACGTTCCCCCCGATCAGGGCCGAGCAATGCGCCCCGGGAGGCGTCAGGCCCAGGCAGTGCCCCTCCTCCGGCAGCCCCGGAGAGACTTCCCGGGCGAGGCCAGGCCCCTGAGCAGTGTCTCTCTCACGAAGGCGGCTCGGATGATCCCCCATTGTTCCGTCGGCCCCATGCTTGTCCGGGGCGCCATACCCATCGGTCGTTGAAAGTAGGTATTTTTGGATTCCCAGTTTCCAATCTACTTTAAGCGCCCTCCTACTGCAATGATCGAGTGGCTTCACATGTTCCGTGCTCTTTATGGGGCGGGCGGACACCCAATCTACTTTCACCGCCTTCCTACTTCATACTTCTACTTACTTCTTCCGACCGATGGGAACTTGTCCGGGGCGCCATATTTTGTCCCAGGCGCACGGCGGAGGGAGGGCAAGAGCCAAAATAAATGTTGCCTCCTCCTCAGCGTACCAGAGATGGTATTATGGAAGGATTCAGGATTATGAGGGTGCAGCAGTTACGCAACAGTCAGAGTGATCCGTGGCGTTGGAATCCCGAGAACAATGTGTTGGCATGCGTCAGGGTCTTCAAACAGTGTCTTCCAACGAGGCAGTTCCCTCTGTGGAAATGAACCCTTGTAGGGGTATATGAAGAGGGAGCTTGGAGAGATGGTTTACTCCAACATCGCTGACGACTCTTGGGTTTACACTGGTCCTACTCTTCCTCCTCCTCATCCTCATCCGCCTCCTCCTCCTCCTCATCCGACGACGACGACCTCCTCCTCCTCCTCCTCCTCCTCATCATCATCATCATCATCATCAGCATCACTCTTGTCCTCCCTTGTCTTTGCAATCTGGGACTGTCAGGAGGAGACCAGAGGAGCGGGGGGGTCCCTGGGCAGCCAAAGAGTCAGCGCCATCCCCTGGTGGAAGCGGATCCCAGCCGAAGGCCTTCGAGGATGCAGAGGCATCGAGGCGCTGGGCAGTGAGATCTACCCACCACACCCCTCTCATAGTTTGCCATGCCAGAGCCCCATCAACGGTCCTTCGTACCAGCTGGTGGGCTAGATTGTTGGGCGACCGCGCAGCAAGGGCAGAGGACTACAGCACCGCAGCAGTGATGTAGTCCCAGTGCCTCTGGCGGCTCAGCCCACACACGACGTAGCCCTCGCTGCGTGCCGTCGATCAGGGGCTTGTGGACGTAGCGTTCGCAGACCAACTGGTCCATGCGCCACACGTAGGTCTGGGGAATTGGCGAACTGCTTGAGCGATTGAGACAATCTCTTGACCACGACTTTGCCCGAACAGTTCTGGCTTCACTCGCGGCAGCCGTCGAAGGATAGTTCCGGGGCAGAAAGATTCAGTAACATGCCGATAACAGGCGGTGCGGCATGTTCTGATCAGATCGCAGACGAGTAGTAGCGTTTCGTGTTCCTGAAGGCCTCTGAAAGGAGTCGTTATTTTACTTTCTCGTTATTTCTCACATCGATGGCTATCAAGGGCGTTTTCAGGGGGTTCGCTGCCAGGCTCCCACTCCCGCCCCACACACACACACACACACACACACACACACACACACACACACACACACACACTTTTGATACCAGACACAAGGCGGGCCTTTGGGTAGCATGGTGCCCCATGGTCCGAACGATTCGAGTCTGCGATCCGACGACTGCTTGCGAGCCCTGTTGGTGAAGGATGTGTGAGGTGGAGAAGAAGGAGGAGGGGGAGGGGAAGGGGGGAGGGCGAGGGGAATGGGGAGGTGATGAGGAGCAGAGGGACGAGGGCGAGGACGAGGGACAGAGGACACCAGAGGGGAGGATGACGATGACGGCGCGGCCGGGGGCGAGTGCAGGAGTCAAGTTGTGGCGAAGCGTCCTGGCTCGCCTATAGGACCGCCAGAGAATGTTCTAAGAACCTTTTGTGGCTTGCACGAAATGTTCTTAGAACATTTCTGGCTGGGACTGTCTTGTTTCACACATCGGGTTTATGCTCTAAGAACATTGCTTTTGTTCCTAGGACATTTTGGGGCTCTAAGAACAGTTCGCGGTAGGCCTACAGGAGTGCTGGACGGTCGGTCCTTGCTCAAAGGAGGGTGGGGTGGGCGGGGGGGGGGTAGCCCGTGCTTGAGCCCATTCGATGCTGCAGACGATGTGCTTTTGGTCGGTGGATCTCTCAAGCTCTCCGCCGCATCTTTCGGTGCGCGTTACGAGCAGGAGCACAGCAAGGCCGCAGGCGCGGGGGCTCCCCGGCCACCACCGTGTCGACGTTGAGCTACATTGTCAACCTCGCTCTCCTGGGGCTTTGCTGTGTTCCTACTCGATGCTGCAGGCGATGTGCTGCTGCTTTCCGACAGGGACAGACTCACACACACACACACACACACACACACACACACTGTAGGCCCGCGCCGCGCCGACACGGCAGAGCGGCCCCCCAGCGCAGGCGTCCAAGGTTGCCTATAGAGCCAGCTGGCATCGAACGATACAGTGGGGGCCTCTCAAGGAACACCCTGCTTGCCTCCAGGGTGCCCTGGGTTTCTTGGGATTCCATGGTTTTGCGATGGAAAGCGTGGCGCTCCTATACCAAAACTCGATGGACGTCCTGGGGTCTCAGGGGTGGGTTTCCGAAAGTTCCGAAGTTGAAAAGCGCCATAAACATAAACTTTTGGCGCTCCGCGCGAATTTCTTGGATCCGCGCCGGGCCCCCCCGGCCGCGCCTCTGGCGCCGCCCCTGGCGCGCTCCGCGCGCCAGGGAGGGGGGTCCGGCGCAGATCCAAGAAATCCGCGCGGAGCGCATCGAGTTTATGTTTATAGCGTTTTTTCTTGTTCTAAAGTTGCGATCGTTCAAGGTTGAACGATCTGCGCGGCGTCAAAAGTCAATGCCGACGTCATCGCGACGTGAACACGCCGTGCTTGAATTTTCCGTTGGAGGGGTGGCATGGCAAAAAGGCCGCGGGAGAGGTGTCGTGACGAGATGGCCAGTGCCCGAGGAGGGCAGCCGCGGGCACCGCGCGGCACTTCGAGTGGCTTCTGGCCTTGCTGGCAGGATTCCTGGGCCTGCTCACCGTGCTCGGCCCCGACGCCTTCCTGGAGAGCGTCCTGTCGATCGTCGGCTCTCTGGTGGGCAGCCTGATGGTTGCAGCGGGCGTCTGCTTCCTCTGGTCGCCGCCGCACTCGGAGTGGGTCGCGGAGGAGGACGGCGTGATTGGCTCCATGTGGGGCTTCGTGAGGGGCGACGGCGCTGCTGTCGGATACATGGTCTGGGCCCTCGCGTTCGCCCTCGGGCTGCTGCGCTGGCACCTCCGGGCCTTCTGCCGCAGGCCGCCGCTGGAAGAGCTGAGCTCCCTCGCGGAGAGGTGGTGCCCGTCGCTGTGGCAGGAGCTGTCGAGGGCATCGAAGCGGCGAAGAGCGGGGCACGGCAGGCCAGTGGAGCCGGCGCTCTCCGACGAGATGCGGCGGCAGCGGCGTAGCAGCCAGAGCCGGGCACCGACCGACGAATTGCGCCCGCCGGGGACCTCCCAGGACATCCGCGAATGACACCTAGCCTGCGCGGCGGTGGTCTGTGTCGCAGTTATGACCCCTCCTCTGCGTGGCCCTCCTCCTCTTCCCGTTCCCCCTCACCCTTTTCCGTCTCAGCCTGCCCGCTCTTGCCGTTCCTTGTCTCGGGTGTCTTGGTACGCACGTGCTGGAACGCAACACATGCCGTGCACAACACATCTCACGCACGTGTTGGCCCGCGTTTTGGCGAAAGTATCGCGCCAGACCTGCGTATTACCTGTGCGTGTTGAGCTCCGTGTCAACACGCTACTGGCTGCGTGCTGCGTATCGGGGCAGCGAAGTTCCTCGTTACGTTTCTCCTCATCCTCCTGCTCGTCCTCCTCCTCCTCCTCCTCCTCCTCCTCCTCCTCCTCCTCCTTCGCCTCCTCCTCTTCCTTGTTCTCCTCCTCCTCCTCCGCCTCCTCCTCCTCCTCCTTGTTCTCCGCATCTGCTTTCGCCTTCTTTCCCTGTGTTTGTAAAGCCTCTTGCACCACAATTGTCTTGCACGCTAGCTCGCGAACACTGGCATGCCTGCTTGTTCTACCAAAAACATGGCCGTCGCTGGCGTACCTCGTGATTGAAAGCGTCATTGCTGGTGTGGCAAGCATCGCCACATTTGTTGACACATATTGTATCTTCGCGGCCAGCGATGTTGCGCCTGCCACCCCACTCGCGCTTCACGTGCGTATCGAAGACGCCCGCGGCGAATCACCGCCACTCCCTGCCTTTTGGAAGCGCCGAACGTTGCAGCTAGAGATCGGCCAAGCTATCGGACGATGTGTTCTCTCCCAGCAGTTGTGGAAACCCTGCGGGGAACACGACGAGGAGAAAGAAGAGGAGGCGAGGGAGGAAAAAGTGGGAGGAGGAGGAGGAGGAGGAGGAGGAGGAGGGAGAGGCCTATTTGGAGCCTCTTGGGGCACTCTTTCGGCCTCTTGGGAGCTTCCTGGGGCCTCTTGGGGACTTCCTTTGGCCTCTCGGGGGCCTTTGGAGGCTCTTTAGGAGGCTCGTTGGCCGTCTGAGGACGTTCCGGGCCCGTCTGACGCCTTCGGAAGCCGTCTTGCGGGCCTCTCTGGGCCGGCTTGGGGCCCTCTTGGGGCGGATTAGCCCTAGCATCGGCCTGTTTCAGGTTCCGGAGTTACCCTGGAACCGTTCCGGGGTGATTTCTGGGACCTGAAACGCGCGATTCTCCATGGGCGCCGTCCCAAGGAGATTCTCCATCTGCCCCTTTCCCCAAGATTCAGCTGGTGAGCCCAGCCGAGAGAAGGCTCCCCAATAAGAGATTCGGTGTGTGATGTGTTGGCGAGCGTGGACCCCAAGCAGCGTGTTCCTAGCAATCTATGTGGTGCGATCTAGGTTGTACACACTATGTTGTGCCATCTACGTGGTGCAACCTATGTGGTGCAATATGTGGTGTGCATTCTACTTGGTGCCATAGATGTGGTGCGATCAATGTGGTCCAACATATGCTGTGCACTCCATGCGTTCCAAATGATGCAATCGATGTGGTGTCGTTATTTTTTGTTCGCGGTGAGTTGTCAGCTCCACTGCTTGCGCACTCATCCCACCCGCCCACCCACAACTTGGTTTGCAAAGCCCACGCGGTGGCGATTGCGATGAGCGATGACTGCTTTGCGCTGGCTGGCGCATCGTTATGGCCGCACTAGCGCGCGCGGGCTCGCGCGCGGAGCGGCCAGCTAGTCTGGCGCGACCGACGCGGCCGCGGTGGCGCCCGCCGCTGGGGATTCCCCAGCGCGTCTCCCAGGCCGCGATGACTCGCGGGCCTGTCAGTGCTAGTCGGTGGCTCGGGCGGGCGCGGTGTCATGGCGACGTGGACAAGAGCAGACACGATGATAATAGTAGCAATGTTGGTGGCGATGATGACGATGACGGCGGCGAGGCCAACGTTGGCGTCGATGCTGATCATGCCGATCAGGATGGTGGTGTCCACGCGTCGGTGATGAAAGTGATGGAAGGATTTCGACACGCGCGCGCGGCCGACGCGCACGAGTGGCCCGTATGATGATTTTTTATCGGGATCGTCCCTTCCCCGCACGCGTGCAAGGGCGTTCGAATGATTCTCACATGCGCGCGCGAGAGGTCCGCGTGGTCGCACTTCATGAAGACAACAACAGCAGCAGCACGTATGGTTTCCTTCAAGATTATCATGAGCGCGCGGGTAATCTTCTGTGACAGGTCACGTTCCACATCCATTTGCGTTCACGTAGCTGTTCGGGAACATCGGTCTTGGAGTCCCTACGAAACCTAGTGTGTTTGAAGAAGTTCAGTATGCTGCATTTGTTGCGATGGGCTTTCAAAACTTGCTAATGTGTTGATAAACATGCCTGCGCGCGCATCATATTATTAGACAGGGTGACGGGGGGGCGATAAAGAGTTAGGCCGGGACGCTTTGAATGAAGAGTTAAAACGAACGAGGGGCAGAATCAAACGCAAATTGTATTATCCCAGGGGGAACCGATGAAGCTGGTGGGGATGGTAGACCTTAACTTAACTTTCAACACACGGGGCTCTATTTTGCGCACTCTATTTGTGCAGTCTCTGTGGCGCAGGTCGATGTGAGAACCTTGGACAAGTCCACTGCTCGCGCAATCGTCCCACCCACCCACCCGCAATTTGGTGTGCAAAACCCATGCGGCGGTGATTGCGCTGAATACTTGGCGTTGGCTGGCGCATTTGTGCGGTTGCGCTGGGCCGCGCACGCTTGCGCCCGGAGCGGCCAGCTAGTCTGGCGCGACCAACGCGGCCGTGGTGGCGCTGACCGCTGGGCACTTCCTAGCGGGCACTCCAGTGCGAGTCGGTGAGTAGGGCGGGCGCGGAATCATGGCGACGTCGGCAACGGTAGACACGATGGTGATATTAGCGATGCTGGTGACGATGATGACGGTGACGACGGCAAGGCCAATGACGGCACCGATGCTGATCACGCCGATGACGATGACGATGTCCACGCGTCGGTGGTGCAGGTGCTGGAAGGAGTTCGACATGCGCGCGCAGCCGACGCGCGGGAATGGCCCGCATGGTGTTGTTTGAAAGGGAGTTTGCCCCCCACCCCCAGCATGCGCGCAAGGGCATTCGAATGAGTTCGACATGCGGCGCGAGAGGCCCGATTGGTCGAATGTAATGAAAGTGTTGAATGCATATTGTTTGTTTCGAAAATTCGCAAAATCCCGCGCAGACCACTTTGGGAAAATAGGTGTTGCACAACTATGTGTTCTCCATGCTTCGGGACATTCGAGTTTGAAATCTTTACGACAACGATGGCTTCTGAAGGATGTCGGCATGCGCGCGCGACGACGCGCGCGTGCGCATGTCGTCCCGCTCCTTGCAAGCAAGATCACGACTGCCGCCCTTGAAGGCTAGAGTTGCCTGACATGGCCCACGCCCTCATCACCATCACCATCACCATCATGGTCATCACCATCATCTTCCCCCGCATAACCATATGCATCATCACCATCATCATCATCGTCACCAGCAGCATCATCATCATCATCGTCATCATATGCACCAGCATCGTCATCAGCATCATCATCATCATCATCATCATCATCATCATCATCATCAGCAGCATCGTCACCGTCATCAACAGATCATTCGCTCTCCCCGCCCTTCCCGGCTTTCTCCCTCGCCCCCCCCCGCCTGCAAGCCCCCCGGCGAGGAGCGGCCCGCCGAGCCCCGCGAGCCCGCCGGCGGCGCAGACCCGGGCGCGGCGGACGCGAACGGGGAGGAGCGCCAGGATCCCGAACGGCCTCCCGAGGCCTTGGGGGGCTCGGGAAAGGAGGAGGAGGGGGGTCGGGGAGGCGGAGGGGGGCCTCCTCCTCCTCCTGCTCCTCCTCCTCCTCCTCCTCCTCCTCCTCCTCCTCCTCCTCCTCCTCCTCCTCATCATCATCATCATCATCATCCTCCTCCTCGGCCTTGGAGGCGAAGGGGGGTCGGGGAGCGAAAAATGGCATCAGCACAAAAACTTTCGGGAACGGCAAATCGGGAGGGGGGGATGACTAGGGGGGGTGGATAATTATCATGGCGGGGGCCATGATATCTCCTCCGATCTCACGGCGCCTCTTCTGCTTTCAAGAAGTGTCCCGGCCCCCCCTGGGCCGCGCACGTGCCGCCCGCCATGATTTGCGCCCCCCCCTCTTGGACGCCCCCCTCTTGGACGCCCCCGAAACTCGGAGATCCGCGCAGATCCAAGAAATCCGCGCGGACCTCCGAGTTTTTGTGTCTATGTCATTTTTCGTGCCCCTAGGGGGGGCGGCCGCGCCGCGCGCGCGCGGCGGGGCCTGCGCGGGCCCCATCGAGGCAGAGGGACGGCGCGGCGATGGGCCCCTGAGGGCGAATCCGGACGTTCCCCTCCTCCTCCTCCTCCTCCTCCTCCTCCTCCTCCTCCTCCTCCTCCTCCTCCTCCTCCGAATCCAGACGTTCCCCCGGTTACCCCGGCGGGGTGGCTGTCGGGCCCCTCCTCGTCGATGGACGGGCGGTTGGGGGCCGATGCGTTCCCGCCTGAGCCTATCCCGCTGTGTGGCTTCCAGGTCACTCGGGCCTCTGGCGGCGTTGGCCCTAGCCAGGCCTCCGTCGCGGGGGCCGCCCAGGTCGGCGTCGTCGTCGCCGGCCCCAGACCTCCCCGCGTCTTGGTTTTCCATCGAGGCCTTCGCTCTGGAAGTTTGCGGGCGTTTTTGTCAGTCTTTCTAGGTTTTATCCCGCCCCCGGACGCTCTCCTGCAGTTGCGCCCCGCCGAGAGTATTCTGGGCATGCCAGGATCATCCCGATTGCCTGCTTGGAACCCGACTCAAGACCCGAACATTTGATACTATCGCGCCGTAAAGACAATCACGACGGAAGGTTTTTGGCCGTCCTCGACCCCTAGGGGCCTTCGCAAGGCCCAGGATCCTTAACAAAAAAACTCGCGATGAGGAACCAGCCCTGGGAAAGCGTCGGGACTTCAGGGAACTCCGCATCGAAAAAACAGGACATCGCATGTCTGGGCTATCGTCCTCGTTGTCGTCCTCGTCGGTTGCTCATTGGTACGATCGGAATTGGTACGGACAGCATGGGTACGAAGATCGACAGCAGCTCCTGTCCATGCTGAACAAGGCTCCCTGTCAGTGCCGCCGAGGGCGTTGTCCATTGGAGACAGACGCCCGCCGGCCCAACAACGGCCGCTGCCGGAGAACGATTACATATCGTGGGTCAAAAGAGCGACCGAAGCGGCGGAAGACAAAGGCAGAAGAGCAGGAGCTCATTGTTGGGTGGAAGACCGCTTACAATCTAAATGATGATGACCCGGAAAGGTAGCAACAATGCGGGATTCAAGTTGGACGAAGCGAGCGATACAGTAGAGATATTATGTTTGGTGCTGGGATAAGTATGCAATTCTCTACCCGGTGAGATGTCGCCCAGGACGCTTCACACGGTAAAAGGACTGTTTTGTCGCAGTTGAAAACAGCATCAGATCAAGGGTTGCCAAAGGTGCCCCTGGCCCGAGGTGCCCCCCAGCTTTTCATTGAATTCTGGAGCCCCTGGGACGATGTGGGCCTCATGACGGGTGCTCC